TCACCCTTCCGTTGCCTCATCCACATCAAACACTACAACCCCACCTATCTAATTTGATTTGGACTCTTCACTTGAGTCGTATCATCCAAGCCTTTGCTTGGGAGACATTTTAGATAACAATTCTTCCCCACCTACTGACTCATCCCAACCCCAACTTCACCATCAGATACCTTACCAATCCCACCTTCGTCACCAGATATCTTACCAACTTCCCCAACTCTAACAACACCTTCACCACTAGACCAACCTCTCCACCCCGTCGCTGCACCAGATCAACCAAACCTTTCACATTTTTGCAAGACTTTCACATCGAAATGGCCCTCTCATCCCGTGTTGCCCCCACACTTTCCACTAGCATGGTCTAATCATCAGGTACACCTTACTCTCTCTCTCTCGTTACTTATCCTATGATAGCCTATCATCCCCTTACAAAACTTTTCTTGCCAACCTCACCATTATCAAAGAACCCATAAGTTTTTTTGCAAGCTATCTAAGATCCTTAATGGCGTGCCGCCATGCAACAAGAAATTGCCGCCCTCCAGGACAATCGCACTTGGACTCTGGTGCCCTTGTCTCATTGTTGCAAATGGGTCTATAAGGTGAAGCTTAAACCTAACTGGAGTGTCGAGCGCTACAAAGCCCGTCTCGTTGCCAAGAGATACAGTCAAATAGAAGGACTTGATTATTGGGAAACTTTTGCTCCCGTTGACAAGGTCACCACCTTATGTGTCCTCCTCAGTGTTGCATTCATCTGTGGTTGGAATCTTCATCAACTTGATGTGAACAACGCATTTTTGCTTGGTGACTTATACGAGGATGTTTATATGTCCCTGCCTCCTGGGTTCGGACGAAAGGGGGAGACTGAAGTATGCAAGTTGAAAAATCTCTTTACGATTTAAAACAGGCCTCTAGACAGTGGTTTATCAAGCTGTCTAGTGCTCTCAAGGCTGTTGGTTTTCATCAATCATGGTCAGATTACTCATTGTTTGTTCGAAATTGTCAAGGTAGTTTCATGGCATTACTTGTCTATGTTGATGACATGATACTTGTAGGAAACAATTTGAGAGAAATTGAAGAGACTAAACTCTTTCTTTCCCGACATTTTAAGCTAAAGGATTTGGGAAAACTTAAATATTTTCTAGGGATAGAAGTTGCAAGATCAAAACAAGGGATCGCCTTATGCCAACGCAAATATGCGATGGAAATACTAGAAGATGCAGGGTTCCTTAGTGTGAAGCCCTCACGGTTTGCTTGCCATTCATGACCCTTCTTCTTACAGGCGACTCATAGGGAGGCTGATTTACTTAATCATCACAAGGCTTGATTTGACTTATATGGTTAATATGTTGAACCAATACATGGACAAGCCACGACAACCACACCTTAAAGTAGTTCATAAGGTTCTCAAGTATATCAAACAATCTCCTAGACAAGGAATTTTCTTACCTTCTACAGGTTCATTACAGTTGTAAGCCTTTTGTGATGCAGATTGGGCTCGGTGTCAAGACACTAGAAGATCGATGATTGGTTATTGTATCTTTCTTTGTCAAGCACTGATCTCTTGGAAAACGAAGAAGCAAAGCACTGTACCCAATTCTAGTGCAAAGGCAGAATATCATTCTATAGCTACTACATGTTGTGAAGTTATATGGCTAAAGAACATTTTGAAGGACTTGAGAGTAAACCATGCACAACCTGTCACGCTATTTTGTGATAATCAAGTTGCCATGCACATTACTTCGAATCCAGTATTTCATGAATGAACAAAACATATATAGATAAAATGCCACTTAATGCGTGAGAAGATTCAAACATGAATGGTGAAAACAGCTTACATACGGACTTCGAATCAACTTGCAGATTTGTTCACCAAAGCACTAAGCTCGACGTAGTTTGAAGTTTTGCTTGGCAAGTTGGGTGTCATCAACATACACTCCAACTTGAGGGGGAGTGTTAAGAAAGAAATTTATGATTGATCTACCATATATTGTAAATTGATATGTAGTTATTTACTTCCTTATTTGGTCTTTGTTCCAACCTTGATTATAGGCAATAGAATAGGAAAGTGTTGACAGATATGTGTATATAAGAATGTAAACCTAGTTGATGAATATAAACAAGAAAACACAATTCCAGTACAACTCGTTTTCTTAGACGCATGGTTAAAGGTTAGGAGTAGTTATTTAGGGGTTAGGACAAATAATAAGCTGCAATATTGCATGTTGGCTATGTATATTACACACTAGTACCGGCGGAGCTTATTAAGCTTATTGGATCCATCTGAAAAAAAAAAAAAAAAAAAAAAGCGCTTATCTTCAATTTTTTGTTGTGCGAGCCATGCATGATGACGACGATGTTAAAGTGTTTATATCATGATTTAAGAGCTATAATATTTATATAGCAAAAATAGAAAGATTAATAAACTAGGTTAAGTGAGTATACGCATCTAGCTAGCGAAGCGAAAAGGGGGAGGATCCTCTCCGGACCCTTCCCTCCGGATCCTCCTTCATCTTCTGTTTTCTCTATAGTTTTTCTTCTGCTTCCTCGTCTCCTTCAATTCTTCTTCTTCTTCAATTCTGAGTCTTTTTCTTCACCATTTTTGTTTATTTTTCGGGAAACTTCAAAACCACAAGTCGTCGACGACTATTACGACGTTGTCAATAACTAACTCCGGAAAGGTCACGGTGCCAACTCCGGACCGACGCCGACGCTGACTCCGGAGAAGTATAAAGTTGATCGACAATGATTTTATTAAGTAATATATCTAGCTAGCTAAGCAGGTATCAAATTGATCGGTAATGATTTTATTAAGTATTATCGTATATATATTAAGTGTTTTACACAACATTATAGTACTAAGAATAAGTAATAACTTATTAGTCGCTGGCTCGATTCTAGCTCAAAGTGTATCTATCATGCTTCTTGATTATGTCAACTCTCATCATTTTAAATATAATTTTTCATGTATATATTTTTAAGGTTGCGAATGGGACATATATTTTTTAGAACCTACTTTGTAATATATTTCAACGATCTAAACGTCAGACTTTTAAGTTTACAAAAAATTACTTAAATTCAAAACCGACCGTTCAATTAAATGATAGTCATTTTAATGTTTCTTTACAAAATCATATTTATTCATTTTCTTCACCACAAATAAATGTCTTAATAATTTTAAATTTATCTAACTTTTGTACTAAAAATTTATGAATGATAAATTGAAATATAGATGGTTTGAATTCTTGAAAAAAGTTACAAAGTAAGTATCTTCTGATCTTTAACCCATATACATACATATATATATATATGTATATATATACATACATAACTAGCTACCTACTTGCTAGTTTAAATTAACATGATATTGTTAGTAAATTGATGGTCATTATCAAGCATGCATATATATGAATGCACGCCTCGGTCTGATAAACATAAGAAAGAGAGAGTATATCTCATAGAGCTTTAACGAAAAACTTTTGGTACTATTTATTTTAATAAAAAACCATATTTTTACTCTAAAAAGTCAATCCTGGTACTATGTACTTACAACACATTTTTATTATTTTCTTTAGAACTCAAAGTTTTCAAGTCATTTTCATTAGTTTTCTTATATTAAAACTAGAGTGAGCCGCTAGATGCCTAGTTAGAAAAAAGATAATGTTAGGGAGATCAAAATTTTAAATTAAATTTGCAATGCTCTACTTTTGGATCGGTTTTGGATACTCTCCAAGATTTACATGGGGAGGATCTCAAGGAAACCGTGAGGGTGGCCGGAGATGAAGAGGACTTTGCTTGAGTTATGAAGCTGAGGGTGGCGTCTGGTGTGGAAGTGCGAATGCACTGTGGTGATGGGAATGGGTGTTTAGTCGTGGGACCCTCTTAATTATTTTAATTTGAGTAATGTTATTCATACTATGTTTTTATATCACATTTCTATACCACCTTAGGTGGCATCTGATATGGTCAGTCAAATCATTTGAAAATTTTGCACAACCCAAGGAAAGGAATGAGAAAGACTCGTATACTACAATCATCATTTAATTAACTAGTTTTTTTCTTAATTATTAGTTTATTAAATAATGAACTAAATTTAAAAATATGATTAATTCAAATAATATGGCTATCCACATCAAATGCCATATAAAGTAGTATAAAAATGTGGTACAAAAACATGGTATGAATAGCATTTCTGTTTTAATTTTTCTGTTACAAAAAAAAAAAAAAAAAAAAAAAAAACTTAATTTTTTAACTTTTTAATTAATTTATCAATCCAATCGGATGAGTGAGTGGGCCTGTTGCTTGCCACATCAGCAATTAACAACTAAATTGCCAGAATATTTAACGGATGTCTAACATTGCAACGAATTAATAAGTTAAGGTATCACATTGCAACGAATTAATAAGTTAAGGTATGAGATTATGGTACAACTCATAATCAAGATAGTTTTATGTAAATTGATATGATATTGTTAATAAATTGATGGTCATTATCATGATATTGTTAGCTACCTACTTGCTAGCTTAAATTAACATGATATTGTTAGTAAATTGATGATCATTATCAAGCATGCATATATATATGAATGCACGCTTCGGTCTGATAAACATCAGAAAGAGAGAGTATATTAAAACTAGAGTGGGTCGCTGGATACCTAGTTAGAAAGGGTAACGTTAGGAAGATCAAAATTTTAAATCAAATTTACAAATCAAATGATGTGTCACTAATAAAAAATAAGCATATTAATCAACGTTTAAGTAATAATCTAATTATTAACAATCATATTATTTAGTTTGCAAATTTGGTTTAAAGAATTTGATCTTCCTAATATTATGGGGGCGTCCCTAATATGACAAACAAAGCTGGAGTCGGACCTCATGCAGAAAGATGCCTTCTGATATATATATATATAAAGAGCCCTAGTCGAGAAAATCCTAAAAGAGGATCCAAAAGGAATCATCTATCAACTACCTAGCTAATTGAGATAATCGAGCTAATCAAGATGTCGACGTCCATGCAAGTCAAGATAATTTACAATGAGTGCATCAAGCCCTCTTCCCTAACACCCCAACACCTGAGAATCCACAAGCTTTCCCTCTTGGACCAGTTGGTTCCCTCCGCCTATGTACCCATGATCCTCTTCTATCTCCCCTCCTCCATTCACCCTATTAATATTAATATTACTATTCCAATGAGGTCACAACTGCTAAAGCAATCCCTCTCAGAAACCTTGACTCACTTTCACCCACTTGCCGGCAGAATTAAAGACAGTCTTTCTATTGATTGCAATGACGACGGGGCTCGTTACATAGAGGCCGAGGTTGACTCCAATCTCACCCAGTTTCTCAACCACCCTGATCTCTCCTTCCTTAGTCAGTTCCTTCCCGGTGAGGTAATTAGTTGGCAAGAACCCGAAGCAACTCCCGGAGCTCATGTAGCTATGATGCAAGTCACCAACTTTGCATGCGGCGGTTTCGTTCTAGGCGCCTGTGTTTCACATATGGTTGTTGATGGAGCCGCATTGAGCGCCTTCCTCAAAGCTTGGGCGGCCGCAACATTTCGCTACGTAGCGACTCCTAGTACTCCTCATCTTTATACCAAGGGTAATTTTGATGCACCATCTTTGTTTCCCCAAAATGATGCATACCCAAGAGAAGCCACTATGATGGCTTTGTTCTCCCACTTTCTGAAAGTGGGCAACTGTGTTACAAGGAGAATTGTATTTGATGCCCCAGCCCTGGCTACACTCAAGAAAAAAGCAGCCAGCTCAACGGTGCCAAATCCAACGCGCGTGGAGGTTGTCACGACACTCCTCTGGAAACACATTATGGCTGCCTTTAAGGCTAAATCTAAAATTGTCCAGAACCAGAGGCCAACTCTGATGACACACATAGTGAATTTGCGTCGAAGAGCTGTGCCACCATTTTCCGAATACACTATGGGAAATTTTGTGTTCATGGCTACCGTGTTGTCACAATGCAGGAGTAATACTGAAGATGATGATCAAAATGAGGACAACTTAGATTATGTTGATGATAATCGTGATCGTGAGTTGGGTAGATTGGCGAGGCTTGTGAGGAAAGCTGTAAGCAAACTTGATGGTGATTTTGTACAAAGCCTACAAAGAGATGGGACTAGAGGGCTCATCAAATTCTGTGAGCCTCTCAAGGAGATGGGAGAGACTGTGTCTCGTGCAGGCGCAGATGCAACTGATGGACAGGGCCCGGATTATATAGGATTTAACAGCCGGTGCAACCTTGGTCTTTATGAAGCTGATTTTGGGTGGGGAAAGCCTGTGTGGGTGGCGTCTGGTGGGGCAAAAAGGGGTGCAGAAGACGCTCCGTACATGAATATGGTGATTTTAATGGATACAAGGTCGGGAGATGGAGTTGAAGCCTGGGTTTATCTGGATGAGCAAGACATGACTATATTAGAGGGTGATCCTCACTTCCTTGCTTTTGTTTCTTTAAACCCTAGTCCTCTTTCTATTACCATTAAAATACCGTAGGCAGGTTGTAGGCACAAGGCAACTCTGTTTCTCATCCGGGTCCCTGACATTAATTCGTGAAATAAAGATCCATCAAATCTATACCATTTATGTACGTACTAAACAAACCAAGATAAATGCGTTTGTACCACTGATTTATTTAACTCCAGTCAGTTGAAAGTATCTCTCTCGTACCTACACCAACTCGTACACAGGAGCCGGTCCTTCCCTCAGCTTAATAGGACATTATGGCTTTGGCTATTTAACGTGCTATAACTTAAGGCTTTGTTTGGCAGCTAAAATTGTACTAATTATTTCAGTCAGATAAGATAAATAGTCATCGGATAGTATTGAGTAATTAGTTGGACATTTGGTGCAATATCGGACTAAGACCATATTATTTATATTATGTTTGATATACAGCATTTATTGAATACAGTTTCAGCCATATACATATGAATTTAAGCAGAATTCCAAAAAAATTACAAAAATTTATGGAAAAATCCAACTTTTAGAATCCTTGTAAAATCCACACACAGATCAACCAAAAACAAAAATCTCAAAAATAAATATTTTTAATGGTTGGAGCCTAGATCGTCTTCCTCGTTTTTCGTCCTTCTTGTCGAAGCCTAGAAATCAACCATAATCAGGGAAAGTCAAGCTCCCTTCCTCGGCTTCGTCCTTCTCGGCAGAGCCCAAATGCAAATTGTTATCCCTCCCCTCGTCGGAGCCCAGATCGGAAGAATTTGAATCATTGTCTTTCTTCTTCAACCCATGGAAAGTTCGATTAAAATTGTTCTTGTCAGAGATCAAAGGTGAATGGAGGAGGTGGGAGGTGTGTGTGTAAAGGAGCAGGAAGGAACAAAGACAAAAAAAGAAGAAGACGATGGAGATGAACCTACTATCCCACCGGACTATTATACATAGGTTTTAGACACAATAAATAACCGGTTATGAGGGGTATAAAATAAGTGGGCCCTGACTAAATAGTCCAGTGCTTATTTCATATGAAGCTCACCAAACACCTATTTCTATTATTAATACTATCCGGTGGTACTATGCAATGTGCCAAACGAGGCCTAACGGTAAAATAAATTAAGGTGCGCGGAATGAGGGAGCAAGGGTTGGCACTTAGCTGCACCAGTTTTGAGGTGTGAGCAGTGGTGGAGCTAGCATGGGGTCTTTGGTTGTTATTGACCCCAATAACTTTAAAAACCTCATATATATTTGTCTGTATATTGTATTTGACCCTTACATATAGCTAAGGTAAACTAAATTACAACCTCATCCTCTTACTTCTTCTATTTTCTTCTATCATATTTGTCTTCCTTTTCTCTCTCCTTGTATGAAATACTTTAGTCGAAAAGCCTTGGCATTCTTCAACATTACTCTACAATATCCTACATTCACCCTCGACAAGCCTCTACAAATAATATTAATTGTCGACATATGTTGGCATAAACTTTCAGCATATGTTGACAAGAATTGGTAAGTGTCTATTAGGTGTTCGACGAAATGGCCCAATAAAACTTTTTAGTTGATATTATGATTCCATTATTTGAAAATCATGACTACGCCACTAGGTGTGAGATTATATATACCAATACGGACATTTTTACAGTATATATTTGCCTCCCCAGTCCCCAAGTCCTAGTCTTTTATAGCTAGCTACAACAACGTCCAATACTGAACTTGAACACTGAAGGAGTTAGTTCATTTGAATGCTCAAGGTCAAAACTAATTTACTTAGAACAAGACCCCCAACTCCTGGTATTTGCTTCCCTTCCCTAGATCCAGTCCAAGTCTAGCTAGCTGCTTTCGACTCGACTAATATTTTATTAAACCATTATCCACTGTCAAATTGCAAACTTGAATATTCGAGCTTCCGGAGCACCCATGGGCCTTGGTAGTGGCACCATTTCGCTCCCGTTATTAATCTTATTCATGTTCGAGCAGGAATTTCGCAAGGAAAGATCCTTGGCTTGAGCACACAACTCGTCGAGGAGTTGGCACTTTGTTTGGCTGTCAGGCTCTTACTCGCTTGTCGGGCTACAAGAAGAGGACAAAGTTAGTTATGAAAAAGTGCCTTTGTTGGGCCTTAGGTGTAGGCCGTGAGGCTCGCAATCAAAATTAACTAAGTGTTGACGCGTGCCACTGCCATCTCTGTATGACAGATGTAGAATGAGTGTATTTAAGCTGACTACTTGCGCCCCAAGTTATTCTGACTCCTTATCATCAAAGGATTGTCGTGGATAGGTTAAGTCCACATTAAGTTCTTTTCTATGCCTTGAGATCAAAGACTTTTGTTTATCTTGTATGCTTTAAAGGGTAGGGGTTCAAATTTGATCAAGGCATCAGTTTCATTTACTTTTACGATAATAAAAGTACTAAGTAAGCAGATCTGAGAATTAGTAGAACATTGGATCATCAAGAGACTGAAAATGACTTGTATAGATAATGAGAGATACATTATAACACCATATCTATTAATGGAAACGCAAAAACAAAGAGAGTCGGGCAAGGTTAAAACGTCTTGCAGTCTCTTATCTCTGCAGTTACAAAGGGTTGAGTAATAAAGAAGGACAAGGGGTAAATGAGTTTACACAAGAAAATCGATACTACAACATTTAAGAATGGTAGCAGGGCATTTACATAGACAAAATATATCTTTCTACAGGAAATCTAAGGCTAAAAAGGTGCAGAATCTGGATAAAGCGCAGCTTTCTGAGTATTTGCTTGACTGAGAGACAAGTTGTATGTTTGTTTGTTTGATTGATTGAGTGTCCTTGTCTTTGGGCCTTTTTCCTCCTTTTATAAACGAATTAACCCAACTGTGTTGTTTATGTTCTTGCCCGAAAGTAGCCGAAGGGTAGTGAATCATCAGTATTTTTACATGTTCTGTCATCCAAAAGTACTTTTGGGTCGGGAGTAGGTGGATTTCCATTGGTTGTCACTTCTCATGTAAGCACCTAGCCTTTGCATTAATGTGGGGGGGGGGGGGGCATCATTTTGTTTTGAGATGGATGTCCTGAGCTTGACTCTAGGCTTTGGGCAAACCTTCTTTATTAAGCTCATTTTGACTTCTTTCCCTTGAAGCCCAAAGTTTAAATATTAACCCAAACAATTCCTATTTCCTACGTTTATCTCAAAAACCAGAGAAATATATTATAATTTACACAACAAAAGAGTCTACAAAAAGTGGAGGGAGGTGGTGCTGGTTGGTTCGGAGGAAATGATGCTCGTGAACCCCCCACGGACATTGTTGCAGCAGAGAAACCCTAGCCGCTGTTGGTGGTAGGTAAGCTAGGAAACGAGTCCCAACTCTCAAGGTGAGATGGAGATTAACGATCCGTTTAAGCTTCCAAGTTTAAAAGCGAAACAGTTTTATAGCTCCAATCAGAATCAGGTGGTTCTAACGACTAAGATAGAGTAAATAGAAAATCTAAAAAGGTTACAAGGCAACTCGAAGGTTTATGTGGGATACTCCATCATATTCCGCAACACATTTCTCGAGTTAGAGAAATTTTTGTGACCGGAACACGATGATACATCATGTGTTTTTATACAAATGGTGAGAAATTTTTTTTATGTACATCGATGTTTTTTTTACACTAAGGTTAAGTCGCACAATAAACATTTTAAAATGGTATCAAATTTACCATCCACGAGATTTAAACTAAGACCTTTCACTTTCAAGTGAAAAAAGAATATCACTAAATCGTAGTACTAGCACTAACCAGTGGCGAAGCCACATGAGAGCGAGGAGTGGCGGCGGCTACTCCCCTTCTCGGAAAAACAAGACTGGAGCGCTAGTTTTGCCCCTCCCCTCGCCGGAAAATCCATTGGTTTTACTGTTGCTCTTCGTCCTGGTTTGTTTGCATCTACTCTGCTCGCAGCAGAGCTTTCAAATTTTTTTTTTTTTAAACAACCAAGCCAAAACAACGTCGTTTTGGTCCTGGTAAAAAAAATTTTTAAAAAAACCCAAAAGGACACCGTTTCGATTAGTTGGAAAATAAATATATATATGAGGGGACCGCATGTCCCCCATTCCATTCATCTCTCAACCTCTCAACCTCGCGTGTCCCTCATTCTGTTTTCAACCCCCAATCAGAATAGCAAAAGGTGCAGCCTTGCTCCCCAATTTGAAGTAGAAACGGAACGAAAATCCCAGTCACCACCTGGTCCACCCACCCACCGTTTGGCCCTTAAGCAGCCACTCTCCACTCCAGCCGCCAGCTTCCAACCTTCAAAGTCACTCTTTAGGTAAATTTTTTAATTCCTAAATTTATAATCCCTAACCCTAATTAATTGTTTAAAACGAATTTTGTTTAATTGGTATTAAATCATATGGTAATGCACTAATATGATTATTGGCTATTGGTTATTGATATAATTCTATGATTATTGATATGAAATTATGAAATTATTTTTTAGGGTAAAAATTAAAATTTGAATTCTCGATTATTGATTAATTAATTGAATTGTTACATAATGTATTATGTATACAATTATTCATATGATTAGTTGAATTAAATTTTTATTTATCGAATAATTTATATGCTTATTGGTATTGATCGATTGAATTGTTGGTAGGATTAGTTAGTATGCATACTATAGTATAGTCTAAGAGTCTAAGAATTTTTTTTTTCTTTCCATTTTACAGTTACGTAATGGAACGATAATATAATAAACAATGCTTAAATCCTCCTTCAAACATTTCGGGTAGTCATTCTCCTTCAAATATTCCGAGTAGTCCTCCTCCTCCTCCTTCAAAATTTCCAAGAAGTCCTCATTCGAATATTCCAAGTAGGTCACAACAAAGTGAGGCCACTAAGTGGGATGGGATATTGGTTAATCTTCCTGTAGACCCTGCACATAGACGTCGAATGCTTGATTATCTCCCTAATTATCGTGAAGCAATTCGTAGATACTATCTCCAAAATGATCCTTGTCAACCTAGAGACCACATCATGCCAAGAAAAGTTAGCGACAAACGATGTTTTATCATTGGTTGGTTTGATAAGTTTAAGTGGTTGGAGTATAGTATATCAAAAGATGCTACATTTTGTCGTTATTGCTATCTTTTCAAATGTGATTTTGATCAAATGGGTAGCATTGGAAGTGATGTCTTCACTGAGAAAGGGTTTACAAATTGGAAGAAACGACCCAAAAATCTTCGAGTCCATGAGGGGGGGTGTTGGAAGTCTTCATAATAAAGTTGTACAACAAGCTAGGGATTTGATGACACAAAAACAACACATTGAAACATTTGTGATTAAACAAATCGATGAAGCTCGCAATAATTATTATACTTTATTGAGTGCCTCACTTGAGTGCACAAGATGGTTGTTGGGACAAGGTTTGCCTTTTTGTGGCCATGATGAATCATTGAAGTCAAGCAATAAGGGTAATTATTTGGAGTTTATGCAATTTCTTTCCAAGCATAATGAACAAGTTAGGAAGGTTGTATATGAGAATGCTCCCAAGAATCTTAAGTATACTTCTTCCGATATTCAAAAAATCTTGTTCGTGCTTGTGCCATTGAAACTATAGATGCAATCACTAAAGATATGGAATGAAGCCTTTTTTTCTCCTTTGGTTGATGGAGCACATGATTATTCAACTAAAGAGCAAATGGCAGTGGTATTGCGTTATGTGAACAAAAAAGGATAAGCAATTGACTAGTAGCTCACTTGAAGAGGCCATTGAGAGATTATTTGTTACAACAAATTTTAGTATGTTCAAGTTACGAGGACAAGGCTATGATAGAGCTAGTAATATGAGAGGTGAGTTAAATGGTCTTAAAACAAAGATTTTGAACAAATACCCTCAAGCATTTTATATTCATTGTTTTGCACACCAACTCAAACTAGCTCTTGTATTCGTGGCAAAGGAAAATGAAGATGTTGCCAATTTCTTCATCAATGCTAATAGTTTAGTGAATCTTATTGGATCATCGTTTAAGCGTCGTGATGCATTTAGAGAGAAACAATAAGAACAAATTCAGAAAGCTCTTGATCTTGGTAATCTTGAAACAGGTAAAGGGCTAAATCAAGAAGGTAGTCTCATGTGTTTATGTGATACACGGTGGAACTCGAATTATGGTACTGTAGTTAGTATTATTGTTATGTTTGAAGCCGTGGTGGAGGTGGTTGAGTGGATTAAAAGTGATCGCAACCAAGATAATCTCGGTGAAACAACTAGGTTATTCAAAGACATACAAACTTTTGATTTTACATTTCACCTTTTCTTGATGAGACTTATATTGGGAATTACAAATGAGTTATCACATGCATTGCAAAAGAAAGATCGAGATATTGTGAATGCGATGGCGTTAGTGGAAGTATGCAAGCAAAGACTACAATCCTTGAGAGATGATGACTTTGGGGACTTGTTTCATGATGTAGAAAAGTTTTGTGAGGAGCATGATATTATCATTCCTAACATGGAGATTTGCATTTCATACCTGGAAAATCAAGGCATAAAGCTCCAAAAATCACAAACTTTCATTACTATCGTGTGGACCTCTATTTTCAAGTCCTTGATATGCAACTAAAGGAATTGAATGAGCGCTTCAATGAGGTTAACACCGAGTTGCTTCTTCGTATGGCATGTTTGAGTCCGGTGAATAATTTTGCATCTTTTGACAAAGCAAAAATTGTTCGTTTAGCCCAACTTTATCCTCAAGATCTTGATCATATGGACCTCATGAATCTTCCAATTCAACTTGACAATTACATTCATGATATGAAGATGCATGGTGAGTTTTCATCATTGAGAGGACTTAGTGATCTTGCAAAATAGTTAGTGAAGACTGGGAGGTGTGAAAGCTATATATTAGTGTATAAACTTCTTACATTGGCTTTGGTGTTACCGGTTGCAACCGCTTCGGTAAAGAGAGCTTTTTCAGCTATGAAGATTGTGAAAACACCATTGCGTAACAAAATGGGAGATCAATGGTTAAGTGATAGCATGATTGTTTACATTGAGAGAGATATATTTACTTGTATTGATAATAAGCCTATTATGCGATGTTTTCATGACATGAAACCTCGCCGGCAACAATTGTAATTTGTTTGTATTGATTAATTATGGAAGACATTACTGTATAAAAAATTTAGTTGTTGCTATTTTTCTTTAACCTTGCACTCTTTTAAGTTCACCCCTCCTCTCGAGAAAACCTGGCTTCGCCACTGGTACTAACTGACTGATTTTTAAGTTATTGATTTTTTAACACAAATATTTCACCATTCGTATAATAACACTAACACTATGTTTGGATGAAGAAATTTTAAATTACTAAGGAATTTTAAAATGACGGAAATTGAAATGATGAGATTTTATTTTATAAAATTGTGAATTTTTTTGTTTGCTTAACATAAAAAAACAATGGAATTGAATATGGAATTGTTATTTTTAAGCTGTCAATCATAAGATTTGGGAAATAATGCATATTTACATGGAATTTAAACTTGGAAATTGGAGGTCCCAAATTTCAATTTTTTTTCTCACGCTAAAATTATAAATTTTTATGTTTATAAATCCAAACAAAAAAATTCATGCATATCAATTTATAAATTCTAATGATTATCCAAATTTCAATTTTATTCCTCTCGTCTAAAAACATAACATATTTCATCCCAGTGAAAATTCTCCCCTCTGTTGGCGTTTCCCTCCGCTAAAACTATCGCCACCCGAAACAAAACAAACCGATAAAATACTCAATAGAATACCATTAACCATACCCAATTGAGTAATTCAGTTGGCTGGGGTTTGTCGCCGCTTAACAGCCATCCCCAACTGCAACACCACAACTCAGCTCTCTCACTAGCAAAATTGAGCCAATCAAATTCAAAGGAAGTGTAAAGATGATGCTTCTGCCAGTGCCAGGTTCGACTTGCTTCCCTTCCATTCAATTGGCTTCTCCGACACTCATCCGCCACCACCACCATGTCTGGCCTCTGTCTGCCACCGCAGCCGCTGCCGTTACCAATTCATCCGAACCCCATCTGCCCCCAATTCCATCTTCCTCAACTACGAATCATTTAACCTCAACCTCGAGACGACGCCGCTTTGGGGACGACCAAGCTGCCGCTTCCCCCTATGACTTTGGCCCCCTCCTCACCTTCCTAGCCAACTCATTGTCATCCGATGATGATTCCGCCTCCTCCTCTTCCTCCTCCTCCTCCTCCTCCTCCTCCTCTCCAACCTCACTCGACCCGTCCGAGTTCCAGCTGGCCCAGTCCTACCGCGCTGTCCCTGCCCCACTCTGGCACTCCCTCCTCAAGTCCCTCTGCGCCTCCCACTCCTCTTCCGACATTGGACTTGCCTACGCCGTCGTTTCGTGGCTCCAAAAGCACAACCTCTGCTTCTCCTACGAACTCCTCTACTCCATCCTCATCCACGCCCTCGGCCGCTCCGAGAAGCTCTACGAGGCTTTCTTGCTCTCCCAGCGCCAATCCCTTACTCCCCTCACCTACAATGCTCTCATCGGCGCCTGTGCTCGCAACGGGGACCTCGAGAAGGCCCTCCATTTGATGTCCCGCATGCGCCAGGACGGTTACCGCTCCGACTTCGTCAACTACAGCTTGATCATTCAGTCCCTCACCCGCTCCAATAAGATTGATTCCCCAATCATGTTCAAGCTCTACAGGGAGATTGAGTCCGAGAGCATTGAGATTGATGGCCAGCTCTTCAACGACATCATTGCTGGTTTCGCTAAGGCTGGCGAGGCCTCCCAGGCTGTGCACCTTCTGGCCATGGTCCAGGCCACTGGCTTGAGCCCCAAAACTGCCACTCTGGTTGCTGTCATCTCAGCCTTGGGGAATTCCGGCAGGGTAGTTGAAGCTGAAGCTATCTTTGAGGAAATGAGAGAAGGAGGATTGCAACCCAGGACTAGGGCTTACAATGCCCTCCTCAAAGGCTATGTGAAGGCAGGCCAACTGAAAGATGCCGAATCCATCGTGTCCCAGATGGAGAAGAGCGGTATTTCTCCTGATGAGCACACTTACAGCCTGCTCATTGATGCCTATGCGAATGCAGGTAGGTGGGAAAGCGCAAGAATTGTGTTGAAAGAGATGGAAGCTAGCAATGTGCAGCCTAATTCCTATGTTTTCAGCAGGATTTTAGCCAGCTACCGTGATAGAGGGGAGTGGCAAAAGTCGTTCCAAGTTTTGAGGGAGATGAAGAGCAGTGGAGTAAGACCCGATAGGCATTTTTACAATGTCATGATTGACACTTTTGGAAAGTCCAACTGTCTTGATCATGCTATGGCTACCTTTGAAAGGATGCTATCTGAGGGAATCCACCCGGACACCGTCACCTGGAATACACTTATAGATTGTCATTGCAAGTCAGGCCACCATATAAGGGCGGAGGAGTTGTTTGAGGAAATGCAGCAAAGTGGGTGCGCCCCTTGCGCCACCACCTATAACATCATGATCAATTCCTTTGGGGAGCAGCAAAGATGGGATGAGGTGAAAGGCTTGTTGGGGAAGATGCAGTCTCAGGGTTTACTGCCTAACATAGTTACCTATACCACATTAGTTGACATTTATGGAAAGTCGGGGAGATTTACTGATGCAATAGAGTGTTTGGAGGTTATGAAGTCTGCAGGCATGAAGCCATCCCCGACGATGTACAATGCCCTAATTAATGCCTATGCACAAAGAGTAAATTGTCTTCCTTACTCTAATGTTAATGTGTGTCTATGCACAAAGAGTAAATTGTCTTCCTTACTCTAATGTGTGTGTGTGTGTGTGTTTACTTCTATTCCAATGCTGAAGCTTTTAGATAGATATCAACCAGAAAGCTATTCTTCTTACTTCAGACTACCAGTTTTGTCTTTCTGTTTGAATCCCTGATAGTGAATTGGATAGAGTCTTATCGTGAGTGTGAGGGTTGAGCATCCATTTGATTTGATCTTCCATTGGAATCTTTGACAGGGTTTGTCGGAGCAAGCACTGAACGCATTTAGGGTAATGAGAGCAGATGGATTAAAACCCAGTCCCTTGGCTCTCAATTCGTTAATCAACGCATTTGGTGAAGATAGAAGGGATACTGAGGCCTTTTCTGTGTTGCAGTACATGAAGGAAAATGTGAGTTATTTCTAATGTTGTGACAGTCACTGTTACTGCACGGATTGGTACAAAAATTGATTTTGTTTCCTTATAACTGCAGGACCTGAAACCAGATGTAGTTACGTATACTACACTTATGAAAACCCTTATCCGTGTTGATAAATTTTGTAAGGTATGAATTTCGTATAATATTAGCATAGATAACCGTTGCATGCATAACAGCCAGGCTTTCAGCTTATAAGGTTTTATTGAATATCTTACCGCTTCACTTCTGTGTATGCACACATATATGTATGTACGCATACACACACACATACCCATATTCATATATTTGATTTTGAATGTATAAGTTGCATGATTTTGGTTTCAGGTTCCAGCAGTGTATGAAGAAATGATTATGTCTGGCTGCACTCCAGATAGGAAAGCTAGGGCAATGTTACGGTCTGCGCTGAAATACATGAAACAGACACTCAGATCCTAAATGACATGATTTGAGTCATACAGCCACAGTTAAATGTGTTCACCTATTATTTTGGTCTGGTCAGGTCTGATACGAAGGTTAGGCCAAACCCGTTTATTTTTATGATGGTCAAAATTTTGTGGAATTAAGTTTCACATATGCCAGCATCTTCGACAGTCTGATGATTTTGCAGGAATGATGATTCGCACTGGCCATCGTGCAAGAATATCAAGGGCAATCGTGTTCCGGAGTTTGGGAACGATGACACTGAGCACACCCTAGTGACAAACACAGGAACAACTGAAGAAATACACCCCCTTTACCATTACCATTACCTCACTCAAATTTTAGGTTGCAACTGTTTTCCATAAGCACGGCTGCACCAGAAAAAATGTGATTCATTGCTTGTATCCTGTAAAAATTTGTCCGATTATTTTTCATCATAAAGTAGAATGTAATTATAAAACTAAGTTGCATGTGTTTTTGTTAATTTATCAAAAGGAAGTATGCAAACAAATATGGTGACGTCAACTCTTGATTATTCAAGGCATGAACAAGAAGAACGATTAATTGCTCAGAGATTCAGTAAAATGCGAGTATAAATTCAATCCAAGCAAATAGATGATCACTTAAATTAAAAGAATATTATGGGTTTGAAAATTGTTCCCATCGTGTGTACTTGTACAGAATAAAAAATTCAACTTAAAGTACATCTTTTCTAAAAAATTTGGCATACACCCACCCCCTATATATTTCTTATTTTTGCTTCTCCTTTTTCCCATGACAACTAGGAACGTGAAATCAAAAAATTCACTTCAAATTACGGACCTAAACTTCTTGCTGCTCATGGTGTTTCACAATTGGTATTGAAAATCAATGGAGAAGTGGAGGAACTGTGCGGAACAACACCTCGGTCAATACAGTGCAGCACGAAGCCTCTAACACGGAGTCGTTTCTCAATATCAGATTGCAATAGCAGAAACAATTGGTCTAGCACACTTGCTTTTTGAAATTCTGGAACAGAACATGAACATTAACAGAACAGACGATAACAAGAAGAGCCTGAAATATGTTCTTATCTCCTGCATTCCTAGTTCAAGCACCTCCATCTTCTTTCCGTATCTACTACTCCTCTCGACTAAGTACCCTTCAAGATACTCATCTATGGATACCCACTTGTCTAATAAGGTGGGCACAGAAGACTTTGAATAATTTTCACCAAGCTGCTCTGGCCCCAATTTAAAAATTGTGAAAAATGCAGCAGACCATTCATTGAGAACTCTCTGAAAGCAAAAAGATTTATACTGTTTTCATTAACTGAACCTTCTATATTTGCAGAAACTTAAAAGATGACCAAAAAACTGACATACATTGAAGGTACCCAATTCTGTGGGATTGAACATTTTGAAGCAATCTCTTGATGAGGCTGCTCCATCTCCATATATCTGAGTCACAATGAAAAAGGATGCAGATTTGTCTGGGTCAGGTTGCTTTAAGATCAGAACTTTGAGGGGAAAATGAGGGATAACTTGACAAACCTCAAAGGTGAAAGCCATTGGCACCTTTACAATGTCGAACATAAAATCAGTTGCTGTCCCATGTGCCAGGTACCTAGAAATAAAACTTGATGAAAAACTATTTTAAAGAGTAAGCATCGAAACCTACGAATTTGGCTCATGATTCGAGGAGAAATGTTAGCTCTTTTTTTTTTTTTGGGAGGGGGGGGGGGGGTGTAAAGGTTAATGAGTCAAATAAACCACTTAAAATTTCAGTCGCAGCAGAGCTTAGCCTTGCAGTCCAGCTACCACCACAAAAGGTGGTTATGTGGTTATGAGAATAGAGTCTGATCTTAAAATTTCAGGTAACAATCAACTGAACATTATAATAATGACTGTTAGTAATACTAACCCAACAGAACCTCCACCAGACCCAACCATGCAACGCTTTTGGAAATGCAGTTGGTTGAGTTCTTCAAGCAATGACTTCATCTGGTGGGAGGAAACTCCATCTGGGGTTGTGTTCTTATGGTCATACGGCATAAATAGAGCCTGAACAAACCAGAAGCTATATAAGAAATGTATCATATGCAGAGTACACAAACCCTAAGTTGAAAAGATTCAAAAATTGAGGATCACTTTGACACTTCAATGGTAATTGGAAAAAGAACATAAAATTGTATAAAGTGGCAAACCATAGGGTGACATTGCATTTGGTAAAACGGAATTACATTAATCATTAACTTCAAAAATGGTAGATATGACTTCGGAGTCAACATGAGGGAATACTAATTGAACCTACCTCCATCCCAGAGTGTATATTAATCCATATGTGTGGATCAAATGACATGGAAACTTTCCGCATTATCTGAGTTTCAGGCTCGCTGAAAGGAGCAGTTCCAGGATTTTCCTCATATGGATCATAATCCTGGGATAGAAAAACAAAATAAAAGCAAAGGAATAGTCTTAAGCACAAAATAGAACCAGAAATGGAATGACAGTTGAATATTGAAGTTAAGGAGACGAAGCAGGAAACAATACGTGAAGCTCATCAGCTAATGGTGGGTTATATATTAAGTGTAGTGCTATATAATCTTAAAGAACATCCACCTAAAGAAGACATCTTAATCAATTCAATACATTTAAATGATGAAATAAACAAGCAACATGATAAATGCAGTATTGTATGATTAACCTTCTCTTTTTTTCCCCAATCCACGCTCCAATTACGGTTGGGATCAACTCCCCTCCCTGTCCAATATGCAAATTAAGCATTCAACAATCTTTATAAGAAGTGATACATAAATCAAGGATTCATGCACATAAACAGACATAAAATCTTGAAGAATTACCACACACACGGGGGGCATTTTACAGTTACCATGCTATCCGTGGAAAAATCTCTTATTAGTGTTCTTTCATATAATAGGGGAGCATTTGATTGACAGAGAATTCTATTTATAATGGTGTCTGTGTGTCTCTCTGTGCATGTGTGCATATATATTTTAGATCCCAGAAAATCAATTGCTTTACCATTTCTCCTCTCACAGAGATCTCCTGCTTCAACAAGTCTACGGCCATTTAAGTTTTCCATTGGAACCACCTGACATAAAATAAGATATCAGAACCCAAAAAATACCAAACTTGTTAAAGTATCTCTCTCCAAAGAAATAGCTAAGAACTGCAGCACATTACAAAAATGTTACCTTTATCAAGAGCTTGTCAAGGGTACTGTCTAAGGAGGTTGGGTCCAGGTTGGGTAGAAACTGTTCTTTACTCAAGATTGATAGGATTCGTAATGCAAGCTCGGATGTAATAAGCTCCCTTCCATGCTGCCCAAAACTCTGGAAGACAAGGAATCATCTGTCAAAAACACCAGCCATTACCAATCTGAGATTATCTATGACCATAAACAGCCAGCCCGCTATGCAAAATATAGTCAGAACGAATCCAGCGTATAATAATACATGAAAAAAAAACTTACAAGAAGGATCCGTAACTTTGGCTGGTCATCAGTCTCTTGCCTTCTCCGGCAATAGGTAACTATTGCGATCTCAGCAGAGTAGCCCTTGTTTCGAGATTTAATTGTATCCAACTGCCATTAACATCAAAGTATTAGAATATGAAATGAATTTCAGAAAAATGATAAGACTCTCAAGCAGAGGAAACCTACAGTGAGCTCGTCTGGGTGCCGAAAGACGAGAGCTTTAATTTCTTCCATCAAATCCCCACTGCAGACAAATAAAAAAGGAAAACTTGAATTGTTATACATTTATTGTAGATGATGTTTTCCGGGTTAAATTAAATTGGCTGAGGAATTCATAACAAGTTCACAAGATCAAAGTAAGGCAAATAATTGAAAGGTGAGGGAGGGAATAGCCAAGGTTCCCTACAACTTGTGACCAACCTAACCAACCATAGAGTCAGAAAACAAGAAATTAAAGAAAGAAACAGAATTTAGAGAAACAAGAAATTAAAGAAAGAAACAGAAACCCATCTCAAGATTTAAACAAAAATACATGAATCAACCAGTAACTGCCATTCGGCACAATTCCGCAGAAGGCAGATGAGATTAATCAGTCAAAATATATGATTAGTGCAAAAAGATTGGAATAAAGTAAAGAATAAAACAAATTGAGATAGAAAGTAGAGGTGACCTGGAATGATAGAGATCGCGATTGATGGGGGTGAGAGAAGAAGGATTGGTGATGTTATTAGTATTGCCATGGACGACCAAGAAAGCTTGCAACCACGCAAAGAAGCAGAGAGTGATGGATAAAGGAGAGAGAGAGGAAGGAGATGAGCCATGGCATTGGCAGTCATCGGAGGAACAAGGAGTTGAGCCATGGTTTGGGTTTTCATTATTCCATTATTTATTATATTCTCTCTTTTCTTTGGAGCTGTGGTTGGTCAATGGTTCAATGTTTCAATGGTCACGGTGGCAAAATGGCATCAAAATGACATAAGAAGAAAACACAAGAAACAAGGGAAAGACAAGGGTTGTGTTGTCTTTTGGTCTCTTGATTATTATTCCTCTTTCCACGTTCGACGGTCTTGATGATATTGATGCCTCCGCAGCGCTCCACTTTATTACATTAAATTTTAAAGTGTTTTAACGAAATGCTTTCAGTACTATTTTTTTTAATGAAAAATTATATTTTTACACTAAATCAGGCTGGGACTCTGTCAATCCACTCCAGCCCACAAACTTTCCTGGCACCCAGCCCAAGCTGGTTTCCAGGCCAGCCCAAACTTGACTGGCCAAGGAATCGGGCTATTTGCCTGGTGCGTGGCTTTCACGCGACCGAGGGCGCGAGTACATGATAGCCATTCAAAGGCAGGGCCCACGACGCTAGCGCACTCACATCCCACCCCGGGTAGGCGACGTGGCCCACAGTCTGCCGTTAGATTTCCAACAGCTAGTTTTTCTAGAGCGTTGGATTTTCAATGGTAAAAGAAAATTGAATTTCACTTTTGATACGGACCATCTGATTACAAATCAACGATCCACGTTTTTTCTTGAAAAATTAAAAGAATAAATAAATAAAAAGGCCCAACGGTCAGAATTATGATCATTGGCCACGTGGCATGTAACATTCCACATCGTCCAGGGGAGTGGATCTTGTAAGCCTTATATGTATATTCTCATCTCTACCTAGCACGAGGCCTTTTGGGAGCTCACTGACTTCGGGTTCCATTGGAACTTCGAAGTTAAGCGAGTAGGGACGAGAGCAATCCCAAGATGGGTGACTTACTGGAAAGTTCTCGTGTGAGTTCCTAGAAACAAAACCGTGAGGGTGTGGTCGAGGCCCAAAGCGGACAATATAGTGTTATGGTGGAGTCGAGCCGAGGATGTGGTGGGGACCTAGGCTAGGATGTGACAATTTGGTATCATAGCCAATCCTTGGCCGGAAGTGTGCCAACGAGGATGTCGGGCCCCTAAGGGCGGTGGATTGTAACATCCCACATCATCCAGGGGAGTGGATCCTGCAAGCCTTATATATATATTCTCATCTCTACTTAGCACGAGGCCTTTTGGGAACTCACTGACTTCGGGTTCTATGGGAACTTCAAAGTTAAGCGAGTAAGGGCGAGAGCAATTCCAGGATAGGTGACTCACTGAGAAGTTCTCGTGTGAATTCCTAGAAACAAAACCGTGAGGGCGTAGTCGGAGTCCCAAGAGGACAATATCATGCTACGGTGGAGTCGAGCCCAGAATGTGGTGAGGGCCCGAGTGGGGATGTGACATGGCAGCTTATAGGCTGTTGGATTTGAATATTTTTCAAATCTAATGGTCCAGATTAATTAACTAAATTAAAAATTATTAAAAATTATGAAAAAAATACAGAAATATTATTAAAAAATACAGAGACTTTTTATAATTTCATATTTATTTGTAGTACTTTATTTAATTTCTTATGTAATTTTTATGTAATTTCGTCTTTATTTTTAGTACTTTATGTAATTTCTTATTTATTTTTATTTATAGATGTAATTTCTTATTTATTATTAGTACTTTGTGTAATTTCTTATTTATTTTTAGAACTTAGTACGTTCGGATAATGACACATGGCGTAATAAAATTGGTTGAAAATCTTATCATAATCTTGGCTAAATTATTGTAAACATATAGTAACACGTGGCGCGTCGGGATTGGTTGCAAATCTTAGCGGAGATCTATTCACAAAATAGTACATTCGGATAATGACACGTGATGTGACTAGATTGGTTAAAAAATTTATCCAAAATTAAAACTATTTTATTTATTTATTTTTTATAAAAAAAATTAAAATATTTTAAATGGGTTGAGTGCCAGCGCATTTTGTAGAGATGTAGATCGTTTGTGCCAACTCATTTTTTTAGAGGTGGAGATGCCCTTGGTCTATTACTGTTCATTGAAATCTATCATTGTTCATTGAATGGATAAATGGGCTGGATGTTAGCGCAAAATCTTTAGGAGTAGAATTGCCCTAATGGGCTCATTGGTCGTTGCAATCAATGCCCAGGTCATCTTTGATCTTCCCGGCAAGGGGGTAAAATCCAGTCAAGATCTCCGACAAAGACGTCTTCAGAACACGCAACCTTTTCATGATTGTGGCGTCATCATCGTCTTCGTCGTTGTCATCTTCGAGATCATCATCTTCAAGGAGAGTGATATTAGTGCAGGGTTTTATGAGGTAGGAGTATCATAATAGTATAAGAATTGTCATAAAAGAGGATAATGGGAGCAAGGGAGCATGTATGAGTTGATCCAAAAGGGAAAGCTTAAAAAATTTTAGGTGGGAGGGTGCTGGGGAGGATGGTTTAATTCTCTCTTTGGAAAAATTTTCCACTTCCATTTTCATCATGAATGTATTATGGTGTGTACTTTTGTTTGACAATTTCTTAATTTAAAATAAAAATAAATGTTAAAAAGAAAAAATCTTGGAGGTTTCAACTACCTAGTTTATAATTTTCACTTTACTAATCTTAAGTATATTGAAATTCCAACTTTCATACCTAAAGTTTTTTTGTCTTACTTTCATTCCTAAAGTTTGAATTTTGTGATACTTTCATACTTCCGTTAGCCTTTATGTCAAGACTCTGTTATCTGCCTACATGGACGTCACATAACCCATAATATTTGAGCCACGTGGGTAAAATTAAAAATGAATTATTACTATTTTTATCCACATGGCACAAAATATTATGCAATCCACGACATTCATAGAAGTAGACGAAAGTGTGAAAGTCTCACAAAATTCAAACTTTAGGTATGAAAGTGAGACAAAAAAAAACTTTTAGTATGAAAGTTGAAAATTAACGATATTTGAAAGTAGAAAGTGACAATTTTTCTTAATGGCTTAATGTTAGGGAAACTAAATTTGTACACAAAATTTGCAAACTAAATGATGTGTCACCAATAGGAATGAGTTCGTTTATCAATGCTTAAAGTCATAATCCAATCATCAACTTCTATGTCATTTAGTTTACAAAAATTTGTATACAAATTTGGTCTCCTTAGCATTATTCTTTTTATTAGCACCCCACATTAAAAGTAAATATTAAATGACTTATGTACCCTACTATGCAATGACAATTTCGATCTTATTAGATTTTAAAAAAGATAAAAACTTTCTAAATAGACCTCAAATTACTTTTAACGTATTATTTATCTTCTTCAACTATCAAAGTCAATTCCACTTTCATTGTTGAACAAAACCCTAACCAATGAAATTATCTTTGAAAACCTTCACTGCACTCTCGTATATTGCTGGGTATCAAATTGTGAACCAAGATCACAATTTTTTTTTTCAAAATTTTATTTTATAGGAGGCCTTTCTTTCTTCCCAAATACCTGCTTGTGATTCCCAAGATAACCATACTACCCAATATTTTTTTCAGCCTATTATTGATTCAAGCCCAATGTTTATTTACAATGTCACTACTGCTACTAATCAATAATTTTAAATAATTTTGATCTTGAGGTGTATGATTCTTAGCAAATTATATTAGTTTGCTATAATCACTATCTCTAGCAGAAATGTTTCAGTTTGGTCTGCTGGATGTTTATTGGAGTGCTATGAGTACTCGCAGAAACAATCGCTAGAACAACCAAGTGGGATTTAGAGATTCTGGAAGCAGCAATAATAGAGGACATGGTTTCCCAGTTCTTGGCACAACTGGCCCACACAAGTGAGGAGCAACATGTGGTTATGGTTGATAAACAGGAGGGTTTACTGCTACGAATTTCCAAGTTTTCTTAGTGGGAAGGGTACTAAAGCGGAAAACTTTGAATAAGGAGAGATTCAAGAAACAAATGAGTACTATAAGATTTGAGGAAGTGGGGCATATAGAAATTGTGGGATGTATTAGAAATGTAATGTGTATGTTGAGAATGTGGGGTGTGAAAGTATTATGGGAAAATATATGAGGTGTATTAAGATAATTTTCAATTGAAAAAGTAAATGTAATGTGTATTAAGTATGTAAGGTTTATTTAACAATATATAGGGTGTTAATATAATAAACATTTCTTAATTATCTATTAATTGCTAAGGATTTAAATATTTTGTGATTAGTCCGGATTCTCTGCTAGGATTTCCTGTACTTGGATACAAGTCAATTGATTGTGTTGTTAAGGATTTTAGGGTGCATTTGTTTGACTTCACTGAACTAGACTAGACTACTCATCGGTGCAATCCTATGTTTGTTACTAACTCTTCACTAAAGGGGACTTGCGTTCACTAACTCTTCACTAAAGGGTCTTAGCGAGACCCCCAAATACCATGGGACTGCTTAGACCCTCGCTGCATTCTTCTTCTTCGCGTCGCATCCTACACTCACCAAACTATGGCAAGATCACACCGCAAGTCCAAACCACCACCAATCTCTCTCTCTCTCTCTCTCTCTCTCCTCACCCTGAGCCCAGAATCACGAATGAGACCTCAGATTCGACCCTTAATTAGAGAACCCATGAGCTCCATTCCAATTCGAGAGAACTTCGTCGATTTAAGGTTTTCAGATCGAATTGCTGATCCTACATATACAAGTGAGCTTGAATGATTTAATTTTTCTGGGATTTACTTTTCCTTACGAAGGATTATAACTATGGAGGGTTTGCAGAAGATGATTGGGTTCTAGGTTGGGTGCTTTGCGTTCTTCCTCTGTCTCTCTTTCTTTTTATTTTTTTACTTTACTTTATTTGTTTTGTTCTTTAAAGTTTCGGAACATTTGATGGATTATGTGAATTCGTTGCTTTTGGTCTGTGAAGGGAAGCTGGATTTGTGAGTATTTTGGGATACCATTTCGTTCAGATCAAATTGAACGAAATCTGGATTCTACGAATGGACTGGTTAATCAAATTTTAAATGATTTCAATTAGTTCTGATTTTTCTAGGATACCAAATTGAACGATTTCTGATTTATTTGGAATTTGGGTTAAGCATTTGTTATTGGAAGTTTTGCAATTTCCAAGGTGCAGAGGAGCACCAACAATTTGCGAAGAAGATGCCATTTTTTACATATTGATATTTTTAATAGAAAAGAAATTAAAATATAATAATAATAATTTATTGTTAGTCTAACTTCTTAATCCGACACTGTATTAAACGTTTCACTAAGTTAGTCCAAATTAGTCTAGTCTAAGCCAATCCAACTTAATCCCTGAAGCTAGTTTAGTTCGAGATAGTCCGGTGTAACAAACGCATCCTTATAGATATTTGTTCGCTTCGGCAAATAGCAAATCATGTTTGTGAAATAAAAAAATGGAATTCATGGATACTGTAGCAAAAAAAAATGAAAAAGGATTTTGCGGTTTCTTCCGATTCATCCGATAAACGATCAAAAGTCCAAATCTCTCTCTTCGTGAGAGTTCCTTCTCTCCTTTCGTGAGAGTTCCTTCCCCCTTGTGAGAGTTTGTTTTTAACTGCTTCCTCCCCCTTCCGTCGCTGGCCTTAGCTGTGTCCAGGGTCGGTGGTTGTCTCCCTTTTCTCTTTTTCTTCCTTTATTTTCTGCATGCTTGTTGGCCTGCGTTTTGTCCCCATTGTTTCGACCCACTTTACCTGCACTCCTAGCTCTGATCCCCTCTTCTTCCAATCTTAGTTTCCCAACATCCTTATTGCTCTTCCTTCACCATCCTATCCATCAAACATTCCTCTGTCTCACTCAATTTGGGCTCTGCAAGCCATTTTTCTTCACGCGATTTGTCACGACCTCTCGGAAGGTGAGTACAGCTCTGGCTTCAGTAGAAACATTACCACCTTCCATGTGTATGCCTTTATTGGCATTGTTACGTGTGGGATGTCCTTCCATCTGGTTTCCTTTAATATGTGGCTTAGATCTATTTGGTTGGAGCTCTCTTTTCCACCACTTATGGGACATCGGTTGGCTGGATCTCTGGTATTTTCCAGGGATGGAGGTGCACGATAGTGGATTCCGGTTGATGGTGATTGTGGTGCAGGCTGCTTCGGCTTCTTGTTTTTTTTTTTGTTTTTCAGTTTGGGCCCAATTCTTTGTTTGGGCTCTGTTTTACTTGAGGCCTTATTTTTTTTTTCTGCTGGACTTGTAATTGAGCCTCATATTTTGTATAGGTGTTGGGTTGTTAATGAAGTCACATTTGTCCCAAAAAAAGAAAAAAAAAAAGAAATTGGAAAAAAGAAAACCTCCTTGAAAAATGATAAAAGAAAAGAAATAGTCCTGTAAGCAGAAGGACAAAAAAAAAAAAAAAAAAAAGGCGCTGGCCTGGGCCTCTTTATCGGGTTGCTTGGATTGGGTCACACAGGTTCGCGGTTGGGACTTGGCAGTTGGCAGTCAGCAGTGGGAGGGAGAGTGAGTCCCCGAGCCTGGAGTCGGAGAAATTTGAAGCCCTCCTCCTTCAGGGAATCCATGTCGGTCTGTCATTTTGCCGAGAAATGTCCTGTTTCCGTCAAAATGCTTAAACCCTAAACATAATTCAGAAGAGAAAAGCTCGGCTAGGCTAGGAGGATTGAGGATCGAGGAAGCTCTATAATCTGACAGTAATCAATGATGCACAGGCGACCTCTGTGAGTTCGTCGAACTTCCTCCAGTCCTCCTACATATTTAGGTATTAGGTTTATTCTATTCTGTTCTATTCTATTGTATTCATGTTTGGCTTGTTTTGCTTTTACAGAGCGACAGTGAGAGCGAGGGTTTCGTTGCGCTCAATTTCAGATTGGCTTTGTAAATCTCAAACACACTACCACCACCACCATCATGTATGTTAAGTTCCAATGTTGCAATGTTCACTCTCTTGTGGGTTTGCTCAGGAATCGAATGACATCGAACTTTGTAATTATAATTATCTTCTTCTTCGCTTTATTGCTTTTCTGCTTGATTACTAGAGTGTTGTTTTTTCATTAGGGACCAAGACTTGCTTCTCAAAAACTGGACTCCCCTCGCACTCTTACAACATCTAATGGTAATCTTTCCCTACTCTTCCACTCTTTAGCAACTGTCTACCTACCATCTGCATTACGCTTTACACTCTCACTACTTATTAATCTTTTGTTAGTCTACTCTTCTCTGTTTTCTCGCTTGTGCATGTGAATTCTTGCGTGTTTTGCCTTTGTGCAATTATACCCGTGCACAAGTCCAAACGGACATAAAAGTTGTAGAGCATTAATGTGCAAGTCCTTTTTCTGAATTTTGGTGCATAGTGGTTAATGCAGGTCATCAAGTTATGTGGCACGGAACAGAATCCATTACAAGGTCCGTGCAGATGCAAATTGTTGATGCACTACGCTTGGGTGAGAGGGGCAAAGCTTCAAATATGCTTTTGAATCTTAGCCATGTGAACCATTCCTTAGGAGCTGATGATTTCCTTCATATTCTTAAGTACTGTGCCAGGTCACCTGATCCATTGGTAAGCTGACAAACGTGGAATTTAAAGGTTGCGTGTCTCTTCTATTATGCTACATATTGTTGACATCAACTAGTTAGATGATTTGTTTTGCTAGCTGTTTAATCATCATTTAAGTTGTTGATGTTTGTAGCTGATTATGGTAATTTGAACAGTATCAAAGGAAAGCTTAGAAAATTATTTGTAGACAATTTTACTCCATGTATATCAGTAGGATCACATTGTCAATTTTCTTTGATATAACTTTCTGAAAATGCACTAACTGTTATAATTGTCTCATCCTGCCCCTTGGCTTGATTCAGCTATGCCATTGTGAAGGTAAGGATGGCATCTTCCAATTTTTTGACACGGCACTAGTTGCTTCCAAGTGTGTCTTTGTTTGGGTCCCAACACTAAAAACTCAGTTGTTTCCTTTTCGTGCAGTTTGTAATGGAGACTTGGAGAGTAATGGATGAAAAGGAGATTACCCTGAATAACTTATGCTCCTTGCTCATGATGCAAGCTCTATGTAAAGGAGGATATTTAGAGGAGGTAAGATTCATGCTATAGACTTAATCATTATTATCTAGCTACCCTAGTCAGCTGGTAATAGCAGAACTATTTTGTTAGGATTACTGTGATATTATTACTTTACTGTAGCTATTGAACTATCAGAACTACCATTAACATGGAACCATACCCGTAGCATCATTCTTTGTCAGCTGCTTTTAATAACTTAGCACTTGTGTGTCTACCTGTTGTTCTTTGATCAGGCATTTAAGTTGATAAATTTCCTGGGAGAAAGTCAAGGCATCTATCCAGTTCTACCTATCTACAACAGTTTCTTAAGGGCTTGTGCTAAAATGCAAAGTATGATAAATGCCAATCAGTGTTTGGACTTGATGGAGCATCAAATGGCAGGGAAGAATGAAGTTACATATTCGGAGCTTCTCAAGGTGTGTAAAGAAAAACATTTTTTTTGTATTGATCTGTTCAAATATCATTCCTTTCCTCTTTTCACTCACAAAAATTTCCTCTTCACTTGAGCCGTTTTTATTTATTATTTAGGCTAAACAAAAGATTGTGTGGGCTTTATTTTTGCTTTAATCACTGTAAGATAACCTAACAAGGGAATTGGTTTGGGTGACTGATGTAGTCAGATTACTATTAATCTCCCAATTGTGGCTTCAAATGTTTTGTGTTGTAATGTTTCAATGTGCTTGTAAGGGATAAAAAGGTGGAAATAGCGTCGTGATTTGTCTGTGACATTCAGAAGTATCATCTTCAATTGCCATTTCTATTTTTGATGAGGATGAGGATGGTGATTTGATGCTCTCTTGAATTTTCACACTTCCAGGATTTCACTTAAGAAAAAAAAAAAGTTAATTCTTTTACGTCAATTTTCAAGGATGGATATTACAAAATTGACAGTGTTTGTACTGTCTGATAGCAAAGTTATGTTTCTGGATGACTTACTCACATGCCTAGTTATTTTTCCCTGACCATGTCTGAGGATATGACATGTTTTCCCTGTAGTTCACTTTTAGCATGCATAAGAGAACCACCTGATTTAAAGTTATTTGGATCATATCATAGTTACCCTGCATTTTCATTTCTTCTAGTTTGCAGTTTGGCAACAAAGCCTCCCTGCAGCACATGAAATTTGGGAGGACTATATCAAACACTACAGTCTGAGCATTATACCTCTACGGAAGTTTATTTGGTCCTTTACTAGGTTGGGAGATTTAAAATCTGCGTATGTGACGTTGCAACATATGGTGGCTTTAGCCACCAAAGGAAACACGAATGTTAATAGAACTTCTGAAGGAAAGTTGTTTTCTTCAAGATTGGACATTCCTATACCTTCAAATTGTGAATTAAGCTTGAGGAAACTAGATTTGGAGGAGAATGAACTTTCTGTTCCTTCCATATACTGTAAACCTTTGGATGATCATGCTGTTAGTGCAGATCAGTTGACTACTTTTGGCTTGGGAGTTGGAGAAGTTGAGAATAATCAGCTAGATATCCTTGATAAACATTTAAGCAAGCCTGTTAAGAAAATTTTGAGATGGTCATTCAATGATGTGATTCATGCTTGTGCACAGTTGAGAAATGATGGTCTGGCAGAGCAGTTAATCCTACAGGTATAATAACATTTTTACTTCAGCTTGTTTATGTGATTTCCTATTATACAAACATGTTCAAATGTCTCAAATTTTTGTTCGTATAAGCAAATCTTAAATGTATACTCACTGAAATATGATATTCTTGTTGGGAGAACTATGTAATTATAAGATGCTGAATTTTAAATTACAGTTTTCTATGCTTTTGCTGTGATGGCTACTTTGCGGATTTCAATCGTCTAGTTTAATTACGTGGTTCTCTATCCTTCCCTTTTTTATTCTGTATATACTTGGTTCAGATATCATCTTATGACATACTAAAGAGGCCCATTTTCATCTAGATGCAAAATTTTGGGTTGCAACCATCAAGCCATACATATGATGGCTTTGTCAGAGCAGTTGCTTCTCAGAGAGGTTTCAGTATTGGAATGGAAATTGTAAGTTATATTGGTTTGCATATGCCAATCATCTTTTTTAAAAAAAAAAAAAAAAAAAAAAAGGGGGTGATCTTGTATTTGGTGGCAATTCATTTTGGTCGTTTTGGTTTTGGCCTTTTAATTACAGAATTTTGCAACTTTTTTGGGTTTTTATCCTTCTGCAGTTACAAGATATGCAGCAGAGAAATCTGAAGCCATATGATTCTACTCTTGTCACCCTTTCTATAGGTAGCAGCAAAGTGCTAGAACTGAATTTAGCTGAGGCTCTGCTGGATCAAATATCTGAATGTTCATATCCACATCCTTTCAATGCTTTTTTTGCAGCATGCGATACAACGGTGAGCTGATATTGTATAAAACTGAGTTCTCATATCAGAATTCCTTTGTGACCTTGTTAATTAACATTTTTAAAATCTTAAAATTGGATTGCAGCGCACATAGGTAGTCTATAACTGTGCAAGTTTTGGTTCTTCATATTTGTTTTGATAGCTAAAAAATTCGGTTGGCTCTAATAGTAGAAGTTATTTAACATGGGCACACCAAAAGAGTGTTTGTGCTAGCAGAGGGCAGCAGATGGATATCAATCTGTTTTTTTTATTTTCTTACTTGAAATTCTCCAGTGCCTGAAAGTTTTTTTCATGTTTTTTTCTTTTTGTTTCCAATCAATTAAAATATTGTTGCGTGAACTGTGCAGGATCAACCTGAACGAGCAGTGCAGATGTTGGCTAAAATGAAACAATTAGAAGTTGTGCCTAATATTAACACGTACGAGCTGCTGTTTTTATTATTTGGAAACGTGAATGCCCCATATGAAGAGGGCAACATGTTGTCACAGGTGGATGCTGGTAAACGTATCAATGCTATAGAAATGGATATGGCAAGATACGGTATTCAACACAGTTACTTATCAATGAACAACTTGGTAACTCCCTAGCCTCATGTATCTCCTTCCTTTATTTAGAGAATGAAATGGAGTATTGGTAGGTGACTAGGTGGCGTACTGCTTCCTTTGACTGACAAGGGTCACTATGAGACATGATACATAGTTTTGTATATGGAAATCTTAAGAACATCATCATCTGATAACGGGAAAATGTGGTTATAAAATGTTAATCTGATAGGTGACAAAATATTCTTCATTCTGTACATGGTTTATCAAATAATTAATTCTCTATTCAAATTGAAGGTATATGGAGCTTGATAAATGTACATTTTGTTTCCTCGAAAAGTTTTATATGTAAACTTGTGTTAATTATGGGTACTGCGATAGAATTTTATTTGTTAAATTGTTAATAATAAAAAATTGTAACAGTGCACATACACAGTAGTTCCAATCGTTTAACAGTGTGCAACATTTGCATATCAAAGTCTTTGGTAAAAGCGTTAGAAGAGAAAAGACATTGCTCACAGATGGAAGATAACATGTAGTTGTAAAAAATTTCATTGTGCATGCAGGGAGTTTCATTCATGACTGCTTAGTGTTGCATTAATATTTTGATTATATGAGATCATTTAAAACTTCTTTTCTGCCTTCTTGAAGTTCATCTGCTTGGTAATACTAAAACTTCTTGAAGCTCACAAGGGCGCTACCTTTTTTTTTTTTTTTTTGTCCTTCCCTTCATGGAGTCCTACAAGCTATTCAGTCCTTTTCTTTTTCTTCTTTTTTCCCTGTTTCACCTTACCTCATCTGGGGCATTCTTTATTTTATTTTCCAGTTGAAGGCCCTTGGAACAGAGGGGATGATAAGAGAGCTGATCCAGTATTTGCATGTGGCAGAAAATCTTTTTTGTCGTAATAACGTTGATCTGGGAACACCCATGTATAATACAGTGTTGCATTCACTTGTTGAGGCTAAGGAAGTAGGTGCTTTCAACAGTGTTGCTTTTCCTTTTGTTTGAAACTTCATGATATGTGCAACATTTGACCAGTGTTATCTACTTTATGTGCAGAGTCAAATGGCAATTAAGATATTCAAGAGTATGAAGTCATTTGGTTTCCCGGCAGATGCTGCAACGTATAATATAATGATTGATTGCTGTAGCATTCTGAAATGTTATAGATCTGCTTCTGCATTGATTTCCATGATGTTGCGAGATGGCTTTTATCCAGTAACAGTGACTTACACTGCTCTCATAAAGGTAGAAGGTTTTAATAAGGGTGTTTTTATCCTTGTTAGTGCATTCCCTCTTTTTATATATATCTAGTATGGGTTATGATGTTGTAAGCCCATCTTGTTTCAGATTCTGTTGGAAGATGATGACATTGATGAAGCATTGAATCTTTTGGATCAAGCCAGCTCAGAAGGGAACAAACTTGATTCTTTGTTATTCAATACCATTCTCCAAAAAGCCTGTGAAAAGGTATATCATATGTGCCGTTTTTCTCTTTCAAATGAAGTGTCTGTAAGATCAAAAAAGCAGTGTGGTTCTTGATATAAATTATGACAGTTTGGTCAACCAAATATTATGTTGTTGCACTGCTTGCTAATAGTTTATCTTTCTTTCTTTTTTTCTTCCCTAAAATGAATGTTAGGAATTGATCGAGGCAGTTGAATTAGTAGTTGAATGGATGCACCAAGAAAAGATCCAGCCTGATCCAGCGACCTGCCATTTTGTTTTCTCGGCATATGTGAACTGTGGCTTTCACAGCACAGCCATGGAAGCACTGCAGGTTTTGAGTATGCGTATGATATGCAACGAAGATGGAAGCTTTCCAGAAAAGGCAGAATACGAGGATGACTTTATATTTGCTGAGGACCTGGAAGCGGAATCACGAATAGTACAGCTTTTTGAAGATTCTGAAGAGAACCTTGCTGCTGCCCTTTTGAATTTAAGATGGTGTGCGGTGCTAGGCTTCCCAATTTCTTGGTCACCTAGTGAAAGCCCATGGGCCAGAAGACTCTCATCTAACTACACTACCAGGAAAGGAGCCGCCTAATATATTGGTAGAACTCTGGCTCGAGCAAGTTTCCTTGATTTTTTTTAGTTTGGGGGGGGCTGCGGTGCGTGGTGTTGGAACGAGGCCTAAGGGTTTAGGAAGAAGCATTTTAGCAGAAAGGAGCTCCTTGAATACAAAGACACTGGTTTAGGTCCTGATGAGACCACAGTGGGGAGATTGATACGTAGTGCGACTAACTAATATTGAATAAAATGGACCAACTAGGAAGGTCTGGGAACAAACAAGCATTGATGTATTGTAGATTGTAGAAAATTAGGTGAGCCGAGTGTGGATGTTACATAGTAACTGGGCGGTTTTGGATGACGGGATGCCCTTCTAATTTTCTATCCGATAGTGTTAATTTGTAAGTTGTTGCTTTGTGCCTAGATCGGTCTGCGGTTGTCTAAACAAGATTAACAGTGCCTAATAGTAATAGCCTTGCGGAACAAGTTTGCTTTGATTCCTAGTTTCTCTCGTCCTTATAACTGTGTCATGCTTCTACTTGTAATCAGGGATATTAGGCCGCCCTTGCAGTAGCGGTAGCAGGCTAGCCCAGTACAAATATTCGAAACAAAATCTTACTTCGGATTTTTGTATACAATAACAATTGTGTAAACTGATATAGCGTAGTTTTTCTTCTTCTAATCATTAGTCAATCTGTTATTGGAAAAATGGTTTTCAAACAACATAAAAGACGGACCAAAATAAAAAATGAATTAGGACAAAAGTTCAAGTTTATTGCTAAAAAAATATTATTTGGAGTTTCTTGCTAAAAGTAGAAGATCCCCGGCCGCCTCCTAATTTTCATCTAATTTTTTTTCCCCCCTTCCATGCTTGCGAGTATCTCTATGGAAGACCACCACCCTCCGACATCCCCTCTCATTAACTTCGACGCCTATTTTGCGATTCTTTGCGGAGTAATTAAACGTTCTCTCCTGGAGGCAATTCTGCTAGCTTCGGTGGAGTCCCAAGTACTCGTTCCATATCAAAACGAACTTCGATATTGCGAATGCTGTATCCAACAACCATCAGCCAATACAGCAGCTTCGCAAGTTCCGGTGCAGTTGTCTCTGTCACACTTGTCTGTACCAACACATACCAGTTGTTCAACAAGGTTACTTGATGAATGCATTCATCAACTTAAGAGCAATATGATATAGCAAACCTTCATTTGGCCAGGATCAGAAACAGCCAAAAGCCGCTTGATGAATGTATTCATCGCAACCACAACATCGTCTCCAGCACTGCTTGTCAATTCCTTCAAATTTGAAGACATTTAACCAGAAGTCAGAGAGATTAATGGACCCTTATAAATAAATCTACTAATTTCAGAAGCAATAATGGATAATTTTCTTGACGAACAACTATGAGTGTTTTTCTCCTTTGTAAAAATAACACTAGTACAATCCACATTAGATAGCTACAATATGTTGTGGATGATGGCGCAGCCAACTCGTATTATCTTTTCAACCAAAAATTTTACCTCGGACAATAACAGTAACAAATTAATAATAGTAGTGTGCGTCTTGAGACATTCCAACAGAAAGGACTTAAAATTTAGTCACAAACCTACCATTGCACAGCTGCCAGCCACGAAACTAAACATTTAGCCAACCAAAAGTAGTTGGGATAAGCAGAGGGGTGTTGTTTACCTTTAAATTTTGGGGTTCAAGAGACTTCAGGTATTCCAACAATTCATTTTGTCCGCCCGCAGATTTCCTACCAACTTGGTTATTTAGTTCCTCAATCTCTGCTTCAAGTAACTCAATGTACTTCTTAGCATCTATTCTCTCAGGGCCAGAAACATTATTCCACCTAATAACTTCACCTGACACGTTCTTCTGTGTACCAGGTGCATAATCTGGTGCATCCTGTAACAGTCACAGGGCACTATTTAAAGGTTGTACAGCAGAACCTCTCAATAACTAAACTAGAAAGATTGAAAAAGTCATATAAATGACTATGAAAAATGTATCAGAAACATCAGAATGAGCGAATGTCACAAACTCTACATATTACTTAGGAGAAGCAGGAGTTTGCATGTTAGTGACACGGGTCAGATGATTGAACTTGCCATCACGACCTAATATCAGTTCCATCAGAAATACACAATAACAAATACATGGTAAGCCAAAGCCTTCTCAAATTCACAGTATGGTTTTTCTTCAGTAAATGATAATGTAGTAAAAGGTTTCCTCAACGAGCAAAAGGATGAGTATGGTTCATAAATAGAAAGTGAAAAGAAAATGAGAAAAAATATAACCTTTGTATCTTGCACATCAGGAAGAGCAGCTGGCTGCTCTAAACCTTGCTGCAGTTCCAACCTGTACTGTGCATTCTGGAACATATATCCAGTCATCATGATACTGTACATGAGTTGTGCAAGATTTTCTGCGACCTGAGATGGAAGTTAATCAATCCCACTGAGTAAATAAATTCCTTAAATGTTACTATACTCAGATCAGATGAAATTTGCATCAGTTTAAAGTCAGTCAGCCGCCCAAATTCCAACATAAGGAACCCATCAGATCATATGTTACTATACTCAAGCTGATATGGCGATGAAAAGAAAGAATAAAAGTTATAGACTTACGGTGGTGACTGTCACTGCAAAAAATTGTGGGGGTAATGTTCCAATCATGTTTGTCACTGTTTGGCGCATTGCATCAACAACCTACATGAACAAGCGTTAACGTGCTGTCAAGTCAAGGAGAAGGCATGGAAATTGCATTAGTAGGTCGTGGTAATACACCCTCATCGACATCAAGATAGTATGCACTAATGGCAAATAAACGTAGAAATACCTGCTGGGGCGCCCTTTTTACAAACAGCTCCATAAATTCTGGCTGCACATTTTTGACATACTCCAACAGAATTTCTCTCCTGCTCTTTGGCTGTCGAGTTGAGGAAAGTAGCCAGCAAGGAGTTCAGTCAATGATATGAGCTAGCTAGCAAAACAATCATATATGTGTTTCAACTAGATATTTGGCGAAATGAAGCATGACGCGTTGATTCAAAGCTCTAGTTTGCAGGTATTGTTGTTACCATCTGAGCAATATCATCATCATCATCATCATCCATAATCCATATCATTTGTTCCAGTAACATACAAACTCAAATACGGTAAAATTACAAATTAAACGGCCAGTAAACGACAACTAGACTAGCATAACATTAACAAAGGGGACTAAAATTGAGATAGTACCAGAGTGGTGGCGTTGGGAGGGTTGGAATCGGCAGAGCCATTGGGAGTGTCGCTCTTCGAGGAATCGTAAGCATCAAGTCTCAGTGGGCGTCTGTTTCCTCTGTTTCTCGTCTTTATTGGGAAGCTGATAGAGGAAGAACACGGCCCAGCCCGACAATGTGCAGAAGAAGAAGAAGACGATGACGACGGCGGAGACAATTTGGGTAAGATGAAAGAGGGCTTGACCGTCAACGAATACATGGTTTCGTTAGCTGCCCCTTTCCTCCTAAAAATCCAATAGAATAAGAATTCAATTAAGTCTCGAAATCCCCTAATATCCCTATTCCTGCTACTGCTACTCTCGTGTTCTTGCCATCAACAACATCAAATACGCCAGACGCAGTTGGTGAGACTAGAGACTTCAAGTTCAAACTACACCGCAGGGGATGAGGAGCCGAGGCCTTTGCACGTGTGCTTTAAATGTGCGTATAATATACTCCACGAAAAGTACCGTGCAGCTTCACTATTGGATAATATCTAAGCTGTATCACAGTGAAAGAGTAACTGCAATCTTAGTTCGAGTTATGTACTCACTTTTTTACTTTGATTCAATGATATTTTAATAATATATCTCGAGAGAAATGGCTTTCTTAAAAAAGGATTTTTTATGAACTCTTCACCGTCTCATATTTTTAGTATAATTCCACCATTATTATAATCTTCTTAGCATTTTTCATGTCCTAAAATCAAAGATCTCAAAATCTAATTGATGTCTTAATATTGCATTCGGTACTACAGTCTGATGGTATTTATTTTTCCTTGAAAGTGAGATGTCTTATGTTCGAATCTCATAAATGGTGAATTCGATACTACATTAGGCTGCCCATTATATGATTTTGCTGAACTTTCTCTCTTTAATGTAAAAATATCAAGGAATTAAAAAAAAAAAATTGATGTCTTAATGTTAGAGAGAGAAGGCAGAGTTTTGACCTATAGTGAAAAAAGGCCCTATCTCCATCGTGGGCTGGACCGCTCAACAATAAAATTGGAATTCTGGGGACGAAATTTGAAGGGATGGATGGGGAGAGCATATCCTCTACCTTGGTTTTGGAATGTGAACGGAAATGGGTGGAGTGCAGACGGAGAAAATGAACAAATGTTACAACCCCACTCCCACCTCCAAAGCCAAAAGGTCACCTGCCAAAACTTGAAGTGGATGGGAACTACTTGTTTGAAAACATGTCTTTATTCAAAAACCCAAATGACGCAGAGTTTGTGACGAGGGGAGTGTTAAACCCATAAAATTGGTCAATGTTGACGAACTCGCCTGTTACTATAGAATCATAATGAAAAGTTGTGGCTTTTTAATCAAAATGTTTTTTGAGATTTTCATAACTCCTTATTTTGGTTACTGAGATTTGAAATAAATAGAATTGGTTCTTGAGTTTGTCCATCATGAATCATTTTGGTTATTCCGTGAAAAATCTTCATAAAATAAAGGTAAAATGACAAAAGTATCCTTAATTTTTGTCATTTTGGCCTATTGTTTACTAGACTGAGGGTAATTTTATCATTTTGATCTTTAGTTAACATAATTTTTCAAGCAATGACTAAAATGATTGATTGTGAATAAACTGAAGGACCAATTCTATTGATTTCAAATCTTAGGGATTAAAGTAAGGAGTTATACAAATATCAGAGACCATTTTGGCTAGAAATCCAAAAGTTGTTGAGCTAGGCTATGTCTTGTGGAAAATGAGAGTTTTTTCTAATGTCATTTTCGTTTTTATAATGAACTCACTTGAAGAGCTACTTTAGTTTTTCATTAAAAAAATAAAAACTAAAAGTAGCTACTAGTTTTCATTTTTAAAAATTGCAAACCGAGAGAAATTATCAAACAGTTCCAATTTTTTTTAACTTTGACATAGAAATTTTTTTCAATTCTTACAATAGGCATATCCTATATGAAAAACTCGCCGCCTGTTTATCATCTTAGCATTGATTTAACAAGTATAGAAAAGGGCAAACGCATCACTTCCTCTCTAGGCACAACGCCACATGCATCCGTCTGTTTGGCAAAACGGACTTGCTGCAATTTGCAAAAAAATAAATAAAGTTACTAATTATGCATACGGAAAAAAAAAAAAAGGGGCTTTTGGATTTAGGTCCAAAAACATAAGTTGTTTTTGGGACTGAGTCCAGTTATCCAATTACATATTTTGATATCAATTTTGTCCCTTCAGATAAAAATATTTAAATTCTTTAATTTTTTATCA